CAGGACCTGGGTGCAAGAGCACACTCCTCCCCCCCCCCTGTGGCTTCCAAAAACTGGTATTCAGAAATGGAGGGAGAGAATAGCCACCACAGTTAGTAGCCATCAATATCCATCTCCTACATGCATTTGTCTAATGCCGACACTTTTAAAGCCATCCAGATTGGTGGCCATCACTATCTCCCGCAGGAAGGAGTTCCACAGTTTAACTATGTGCTGCACGACTAAGGACCCTTTTCTATGCCGTGGATCTTTCAACATTCACCTTCACTGGATGTCCATGAGTTCTATAAGAGATGGAGAAATATTTTTTTATTCCCTTTCTCCATCCCAGGCCTATCTTTATTAACTCCAATCATGTCGCCACACTCAGCCTCTTCCTCCTGCAATGTCAAATGTAATGGAGAAATGAACAATTCAAGAGGCTATCCCTAAAAACTTTGCCAAATTCGAGTTTGAACGTTTTCAAAGGCTGCCCCTGGGAATGGTCAAGCAAATGTTTGAAAGTTTTGAAAAAGGAGAGTCATTATTTCGCTTTTCGAAACCAGCTAAAACGCTTCTCACTGAAACATCATTACTTAAAAAACATCATGCAAGTTAACTTAAAAAGGGGAGGTGGGGAATAGCTAAGCTGTGGCCCTCCAGAGTTTGTTGCAGTCCGCCTCCCAGCAGTCAGCACAACCAGTTGTCAGAGGTGGTCCAACATCTGAATTACATCCCCACCCCTGTGGCAGTGGAAACTCCATCAAAACACACAACTGGGGGCAGCAATTTTATACCATAACTTACTGGCTCTTTCCCATCCCATGGCCTCCCATCCAGAGCGTCGATTTCGGCTTCTCGATAAGGGGCTTGCAACGGTGATGGGCCCAGGTCTGCAAGAGATTGAACAAGGGTAAGGAAAACAAAAGACCAAGTTTTCTCTCCATGAAGCAACAAAGACTGACATCCAAAATTACAGTGCTTAATCCTCTCCAAGGCAACTCGCACCAAGGCACTTATGGCCTGCTTTTAATACAAGTGTTTGCATCTGCACTTCAATGAAAAAAAATTTGGAGATGGAAAATAAACGCATCAACAAAAACTGGTTATCGCCAGGGATGTAAAGAGCAGGAAGCAGCTTCTTTTTTCTAGTAGCTGGAAAAGCTTGAGTGGCAGCATAATTAACTTATGCAATCACAGAATTGTGGAGTTGGAAGGTACCTCCAAGGGTCATCTAGGCCCACCCCTTGCAATGAAGAACCACAGCCAAATACAATGTTGTCAGAACTGGAATTTGTCAGCAAGTTTGACCCTATTCCTTTAGCTTTTCTAACTAGCAGCTGGTGTCGAGTGTAGCTGGTGGTCTTCTTGGCACTGTTTGGCAACCACCTGGAGTTTTATTAGTTATTGTTTTGAATTCTTGCAATAAGCCTGGCTGCGTTTGTTTACTTGTTTTGAATAGATTTGCAGTATTATTTTTTTTCATTTGTATTTTTTCAGGTGCCTCGGGTTGTTGTTTTGGCAAGATTAAGCAGGATATTCATTTAAATACACAAGCACCACCAATTCTGTTCTGTTACTAGTGATTGCTGACATAGTCACTATGCTTATTCAGCTTTGCACAGATTGAACCAATCACATTTCGTGGACTTTCTGGGCAATACATATTTATACTGCAAATATTTCACCAACTTTATGCAACTGAGGAAGTAGGTTACTGTTCCTTAATAAACTGGACAGCTTTGAATACTAGCAAAATGCTTTTCTTCTTTCCCTGGCTAGATATGGAATGGGGGGAAATACTCTCTGCACTAAGGGACATCCAACATTCTGGGAATCTGTAGAAATGTTTGCCGATTGAAGTAAAGTTACAGGGAACCAGGCAGAGGGCCTTCTTGTTGGCCGTTCCCACCCTATGGAATGCCCTCCCATCAGATGTCAAATAAATAAACATCTATCTGACTTTTATAAGACATCTGAAAGCAGCCCTGTATAGGGAAGTTTTTAATGTTTGATGTCTTATTGTGTTTTAATTTGTTGGAAGCCGCCCAGAGTGGCTGGGGCAACTCAGTCAGATTTCAATTTCAGCCTGTTCTGTTCATGTCAGAGACAGGATCAAGCCAACTTAATAATAATAATAATAATAATAATAATAATAATAATAATAATAATAATAATAATAATTTATTTATACTCCGCCCATCTGGCTGAGTTTTCCCAGCCACTCTGGGTGGCTCCCAATCGAGTGTTAAACACAATACAGCATTAAATATTAAAAACTTCCCTAAACAGGGCTGCCTTCAGATGTCTTATTTCCTCCACATCTGATGGGAGGGCATTCTACAGGGCGGGTGCGACTACCAAGAAGGCCCTCTGTCTGCTTCACTGTAACCTCACTTCTTGCAATGAGGGAACCGCCAGAAGGCCCTCAGCCCTGGATCTCAGTGTCCGGGCTGAATGATGGGGGTGGAGAAGCTCTTTCAGGTATGCAGGACCAAGGCCGTTTAGGGCTTTAAAGGTCAGCACCAACACTTTGAATTGAAAGTTTCTCCTGCTGCTGTTTTCTGCAGATGCAATAGAAGTGGTGAAGAAGGTCCTCTTCACCGTTGCCATTGCCACTTGGTAGGCTCGACGTTGAGCTCTAAGCCCGTGTCCGGTCTGATTCAGAATGAGTTTTCCACCACCGGCGCTCTAGCCGTCTCAACGATTGTTTCATCACCCTCAGGTCCGGGGAAAACCACAGGGCTATCCGGGCTCCATGCAATCGGAGAGGGCGCTTCCGAGCCAGACAGTTAATAGCCCTGGTTAATTCTGCATTCCAGCGGGCCACCAGGGAATCAGCTGAAAGGCCATCAACTTGGGATAAAGCATCCCCTACCACTCTCTGGAAGCCAATTGGATCCATTAAGTGGTGGGGGCAGACCATCCGAATCGGTCCCACCTCCCTGCAGAGGGGAAGGGTCGCAGAGAAGTCCAGTTGCACCAGGAAGTGATCTGACCATGGCACTTCTTTTGTTTTGCTTTTACTTAGTGTCAGATCACCAAAATCCGTAGAGGTAACCACCAGGTCTAAGGCATGTCTGCGGCTATGAGTTGCGCCAAACTTATTCAGGGACAACCCCAAGGAGGCCATGCTTTCCATGAAGTCCCGAGTGGCCCCTTGTAAGGTCGTGTCAGCATGGATGTTAAAATCCCCCAGGACAACCAAACTAGGTTTCTCCAGGAGCACATCCGCCACGACCTGAAGCAGCTCGGGCAGGGAATCCTTGGTGCAGCGGGGAGGTCGGTACACCAAAAGGAATCCTGTACTGCCCCTATTGCCCAACTTCCAGAACATGCACTGGGTCTTCCCAATAGGACGCCTGGTGCAAACTAATGCATTCCTAAAAATCACTGCAACCCCCCCACCACCCACATGGCCTGGGTTGCTGTGCGTAAAAGAAACCTGGTGGACAAGCAGCGGCAAGGACAGGCCCATCTGCTTCATCCAACCAAGTCTCTGTCACACATGCAAGGTCAAATACTCCATCCACAATCAGGTTGTGGATGGCAGTGGTTTTATTCATCATTGACCTGGCATTGCACAGCAACTCTTTTAGGTCATGTGGGTTTCCCTTGCTGATTCCAGTATCCTTCCGTTCAGGACCAGACCCGGAGGTAGGCAGGGATAGTCTTCCAACAATGACTAAGCCTGCCTCCTTGGCAATGACATGGTCTGGTTTTAGTGTAACTCCTCCTCCTGCCCGTGATCACTGAGATCGGGTGTCGCAATACATCCCCCCGTGGAACCTGCCCCAGCCATTCTGTTGGCTGAGGCCCACTCCCAGGCAGCCCTGACCCTTTCCCCTTAAAAAGCAAAATACAAATTATACAATAACTTAACAAAATAATGAAACAATTATGCAATAACGAAACAAAGCAAGAAACAATTATGCTAAAATTAAACTACTCCCAACCCGGACTAAACATTTATCCCACCCCAAACAGAAATAAAATAATAAATAAAATAATGTAATATTATAAAAACCACCATATGAGGTGCAGAAGATTAAGAGCACTTAAAACATTTTAAACCATTTTCGCCACTTGCCGCTCAGAGTATGTGTGAGTGCAGGCCCCGCCCCCTAGGCCCGATGGAATTGGCTGGAGGACGGAGCGGTCTTCCCAAACACTCAACAGAAGCAACAACAGCAACAACGACTCAATCCCACTGGCAGGAACCACTGGAGGTCTGGCTCTCCGCTCACACTACCACTGTCTTTGCTCAGGCTCCTAAAACTTCACACAAGAGCTGCCCATGCATTTCTAACTTATCTTAACTATCTGGAATACACATTTAATAAATAAGAACATAAGAAGCCGCCTTATACCGAATCAGGTCACTGATCTTTCTAGTCAGCATTGGATGTGGAACTTTCTGCATGTAAAGCAGATGCTCCACCATTGAGCAACAGCCTTTCGCTAAATGGTAAGTTTCTAGTCCCCATGGACCTGTGATTTATTGTTGTCTTACTTTTTTGTTTTGTTTTTAAATTCTTCCGGTACTTTACTATGCATATGTATTAATTTTAAAGCTGTAATTTCTATGTCCTGTAAACTCACTTTATAACAGGTGGTAAAGAAAGATTTTTAATAAGTCCCCCCCCCCCGCCTGTGCAATTTTTGAAGGAAATGCAAACTTAAAGAGTTGAAAACCTGCCAGGAGTTTGGATTACCTTTCCAGCGTCTCAATGTCAAAACAAAATCTTTTGTCTATGGAGTCTGTCTTCCTCCTCACACAGGACTTCAGCATCAGGTGTAAGGTGCCCTGAGAAAAGAATTTACAGAAAGCAAGAGAGAGAGAGGGAGAGGGAGAGGGAGAGGGAGAGGGAGAGGGAGAGGGAGAGGGAGAGGGAGAGGGAGAATAGTTGATCTCACTTTCAAGATCCCAGGTTTAGAGGGGAAAGCAAATCAATCCATGCAAATGGGAAGAACTCTCAGGAGTGACAGCAAGGCTGGCATTGAAATGAAGCTGAGTCAGAAGGCAAGGAGAACAGGTGGTCATCTATAAGTGTTTATGGGGAAGCAACAAAAAGGAGCACCCCAAATCACCACCACTTTGCATGCTGAGCTTCTAAATGTCTACATTGGTCGCCAGTTTGCTTCTGGGCCCAAATCCAGGTGCTCTTGTTGGCGTTTAAGGTCTTAAATGTCTCAGCCGTGAAAAACCTGAAAGGCAACCTCCTTCCCTACAGACCTTTTTGTGTGCCGAGATTGGCAGAGGGAACCCTTTTGGTAGTTCCCCCACCCTCAGAGGGGGTGATAGCTCAGGGGAAGAGGGCCTTCTCTGTGGCAGTCCCTAAGAGAGCTGCACCAGGCTCCTTCACTAAACAGCTCTTGGAGAATGCTGGAGATGCGCCACTTCGCCCTGAGCTATTGGCACTTGAGAAGTGTATTTTTAGTACTCACTCGTTTTTATAAATTGTTTTAAACTGTTTTAATACAGTCGTGTTTAATACACCCTGTGTCCCAAATGCATCATTGCGCCTAGAGGCTAATCTTCCTTCGGTAGAATTATGGATCTGGCGCAGGACACTTAACTATTGGCTTCGCCTAAACTCAAATCCCCCTAGTCTAATATTCTTAGTGCTGTAAGATTGTCACAAGAGCACCTGGACTAAAATTGTCTATCAAAAGCTTCATTCTTGTGGTCTATCATCACAACAGCTAGTCACTTTGGGTTTTAGTAAAGCAAACAGTCTAATTTGTCAGCACCTAAATGATATCGAGCGTCAGAACAACTTGGCCACAATAAGGAAATTTCACCCATGGTATGACAATTTTCCACTTTCCCATTTCGACTCTCTGGCACCCTTTCTGCATAACCTAGCAATTCTAAAATATAGACGCACTTTTACTCTTACAAGATTGATTGTATTGCCCTCGGCTGTACTTGAGAGACAATTCCAACAGGTTCCACACAAAAATGCTTATGTCCCTGTGGAGATGGCAGTACCGAATCGGTGGCGCATGTCCTTCTGGCTTGCACTCTTTATAAAGACTTGAGGAATGAGATTATCACCCTCTTTTATTGTCCATTCCAGGTCGCCCAGCCACTGCCACAGTGTCCTTTCTCTTGGCAGATCAAGATGAGCAGGTGACAGCAAACGTTATAATTGCCGCAGCTAAGGTTTTTAGCTGGGGCAATTAGAATAATATCCATTATTTGACTATTGATTCAAAACCCTTAACTGTATTTTATATAATTGACTTTTTATTTCTATTCTTTCTATCTCGTATTGTTGTTTTATTGCTATGACCAATGGCTGATGCAAATAAAGATTCATTCAATACAGTCGTACCTTAGTTTTCAAACAGCTTAGTTCTCAAACATTTTGGCTCCCAAACACCACAAACTCAGAAGTGAATATTCCGGTTTGCGAACTATTTTTGGAAGCCAAACGTCCAACAGGGCCTCCATAGCTTCCAAATGGCTGCAGGAGCTTCCTGCAGCCAATTAGAAGCTGTGCTTTGGTTTCTGAATATTTTGGAAGTCGAACGGACTTCTGGAATGGATTCCATTCGACTTCCAAGGTATGACTGTACTGTGTTTTAATGTTGTAATCCACCCAGGACCTTAAGGTGAAAGTTGGCTAATAACAATACATACAACATGTCAAAAGGTCAGATGCAGAAATTTGCAGTGTTGTCCAAAAACCACAAGCTGCAATTGCCACCAGAGAGTTAGTTTTAAATGCTTCCCAAAGCATTAAGTAGGATTTCACTTACTTGCTTTGACCCTGGCTTCTGCTCCATGTGTGTCATCCTGAACACCTTTGCCTCTTTCTCATACTGGCAGTAGTATTTGACCCATGAGATGCCCAGGGCCCCTGCATCAAAGTCCAGAATTGAACAAATTTAACAGAAGCTGCCCAAGGTACATCTCTTACTTGCATGCAATATCTGGTGTAAAAAAGAGAGAGAGCTTTTAAATAGGGCTTGTTCCAGCAGGACAACCTGGGAATGGACACAAGGAAATAGTGCATGGGATAGGAGACCCTGCACTTAAGAGCGTAAGAAGAGCCTACCAATGACCCACCTACTCCAAAATCTTGTCGTCACAGGTAGACTGCCCCTGGGCTTGGAGGTTCCAGAACAGCACCAGAAGAGCCCTGCTGGAGCAGGCCAACAGCCCCATCTAGTCTAGCATCCATCATTTTGTTTGTCCTTTTCTGAACCTAGCACCATTCAAAGGGACATGCTATCCAAGAGCACACAGAGCAGCCATCCCACTGTTCAACCTCAATGAGGTTAATCCTTGGCCATCCCCTTGACAGTAAGCAAACCACCTGGCATTCTTCTTCCCTGCTTTTGTTAGCAGGCAAAGACACCTGTAAAGATTTGAGGGAAGGGAACTAATATTCCAAGCTGTTAAAACAGATGCATTCCCTCCACACAGCAAAGTCGTAGCAGATTCTGCCAGTTCCGTCCCATAATTGTTCTGAGCCCTTTAGCTCCATTCTGAGAAGAAAGTCTGATTAGAGATCTGGAAGTCCAAATCTTGGTGGAAGAACAAGGTTCTGTGCAGAAAACTTTTTTAAAAGCTTCCAGTATGACTGCATCTCATGCAGTATTTGGCTCCAGAGGTTCTGTTTATACATAAAAGTTATGTATTGCCAAACCTCTGGAGTCACCCTATGGCTAGCGGAGACAGGGAGAAACAAAGAGAATCCCCTATACTTCCAGCAGACCTTGCCACCCAAGCAAAGTAGAGAGCTTGAAAGCTCTTTTCACACTATGTAACCCAAAGGGACCCAGCACAAAAGGGCTTCTAAGCTAGCTCTCTCTCTTGCTTGAGGGGCAAGGCCTGTTCAGTGCATTGGCTCTGGAAGGCCAAGGATGCTCACGTGAGATCTCAAGGGAACTCAAGCAGCCCTACAAGATCTCATGAGAGTATCCAAGATCTCATGAGAGTATCCCACCACCTGCAGAAAGGCAGAGAACTTAAAAGCTCTTTCCAGACCAGGTAACCCCAAGCAAGCTTGGCATATAAAGAACTTTTATGCTCTCTACCTTGCTTAGGATTTAACTTGAACAATTTCAACTAGCCTACCTTCAATTTTATTTTAAAAAAAAACATACGAGTTTTTTCTCCACTGTAAGAACTAGTTGAAATCCATGTTAAGAGGTCTAGTAGAGTCCCTCCTGACTTCTGACTCTCCCCTCTTTTCCTTCAAGCCTGTGATGTGCTACCAATCCATCACTGGCTGGAAGGGAGATGAGTGATGAGCAGAAGCTATTTCTGAAATTTTGCGGGCTGGCAGTGAAGAGGAAATATGGCCTGGAAAAATGTGGAGAACATTTCTGGCATAGTGGAATCTCAAATGTCCAGAGCTAAGTCCGGCAGAGGTTGATTCTGGACGCCTCCCTTATAGAATGAAAGAGTTGGAAGGGCCCAAAGGGTATCTTCTAGTCCAACCCCCTGAAATGAATCATTGCTAAAAAGATACCTGGACAGATGGTCAGCCAACCTCTGCTTAAAAACCTCCAATGAAGCAGTCTGCCCACCTTCCAATGTCACCAAATCATAGAATTGGAAGATGCTCCCAAGGGTCAACTAGTCCAGTCCCCTGAAATGCAGGAACCACAGCAAATCCCTCAAGGGATCCCCTTGGCAGACACTTACATTTTTCTTGCGAATACAGGTAGCCTTCTATGGTCGGTTTCCCAGGGAGCTTGCAAGTGAGAGGAGCTTCCTTCATCCTCTTCTTGAGGTCTTCCAACTCTTCCCGTGTGCTGCTGAAGTGATTTCTGGTCTGTAAAAGCAATGGGGGAAGAAGAAGACTACTTAGTTTGGACATAACAGCATGAAAGCAAAAGCTTAAGAATCTGACATTCAGCTAAAGTGCCTGTGCCAGTCGTTGGCAACTTGCTGTCTTCTGGATGGATTGGATTACAATGCATGCTGCCTGGGGCTGAAGGGAGTTGTAGCTCAAACCATCTCTTCAAAAATAATAGACTGAGGGCTGCCTTGCAAGATGAGAACAAAAAGTCCCTCAAGTGCAGCCCTCTGCATCAAAAAAACAGCTAACAGAAAGTGGACGGCAGCAGTACGTAGGGGCAAACAGCACAGTTGCAACTTATGAGCATTTAACTTTCACAATTTCAACCTTGCGCTACTAGGTTGAAATTGCGCAAATTAAATGCACACAAACTGTACGCTCTCTGCCTTGCTTACCAGATGAGGCCTGGTCGGGGCACCAGCACCAGAAAGGTAAAGATGTTTGTGCCTGGGCAGTTCTAAAGGGATGGTTTTTCCATATATGCAAAACCCTTGGAACGGAACACCTGAGCACAACGCAGTCAATGCAGTCACTGAATGAGGGAAAGGCTGTGAACATTCTCCCTGCTTTCATCTACCCAAGCATAGCCACAGGTTTTCCCTGGAGTTCCTGGACTGCAAGCACTGGGCCAGATGATCCTTGAGGGCCTCTTCCACCTCTATTCAGTTTCTCAAAGGCACCAGATTGCTGGTGCCCAAGTCATTCCAGCAGTCACTAAACAGCAAGAACACACAGGTCTCTTGGTTGCCAGAAATAAGTGTGGACAAACAACTCTCTGCTGAAAAGAGATAGGTGGGTAGGCAACTACTCAGATGATGGCCTCTGTTAGCAACAAAGCAGCCACATGGGGAATCAAGTTGCCTTGCAAAAAGAATGGAAGAACAAACACAATTTGCAATGCAGCAGATTCCTGGTCAAAGTGGACCCTGGGAAAGACTGCAAGTCCGTAGTCCAGAAACTGGTGGGAAGTTCATAAAATTATGCATGGCCTTGAAGAGGTGGATAGAGAACCCCCCTTCTCTGCCCCAATAACATTAGAACCTGTGGACATCCAATGAAACTGAATGTAGGAAGATTCAAGAAATACTTATGCATGTAGTTAAACTATGGAACTATCTCCCACAGGAGACAGTGATGGCCACCAAACTACATGACTTTAGAGGACTAGAGAAATTCATGGAAGAGGAGGAAGCTATCAAAGGCTACTAGCCACAATGGCTATGCTCTGCCTTTGCAGTTGGATGCAGCAATGCTTCTGAATGCTGGTTTCCAGAAACCTAGGGAGGGGAGAAGGCTCTTGTGCTCGGGTCCTGTTTCCAGATTTTGCACAAGCAACAGTTCAGCCACTATGTGAAGAGGATGCTGGACTAGACAGGCCATTGGCCTGATCCAGCAGGCTCTTCATATGTTCTTACAAGACATATGGCACTGCACACCGAATAAGCATTTCCGCAGTAGGAGCGAAGGAGGAAGAAAGACAGGATGGCGGGAAGCAAACTCACATTCTGCAGACTGAGCTGAAGTTGTTGCTTATATGGCAGGAAATCCTGCGTCAATTCCACAGTCAGGTTGTTGTAGGTGAAGAGGCTATGGAGGAAAGCCAAGACCTGTGAAAAAAAGAGGCAACATTTTCTAAGTTAAAGAGCAGATCTGTGCATCTAGAATCACAGTGCGTAAAAATCCTCCCGGCCTGCTTCAATCTATTCTGACAGTTGGACAAGAAAGGCTTAAACAATGGACACATCTCCTTTTCTGGAGAAGCATCTGCTACATATTCTGGAAAAGAGGTTGTCTGTCCTCTATCGGTCTGGACACCTCTCAAGGTAAGTTATGGGGCAGATGGCAGACACCTTTGGAATCAAGATAGCAGACTGATACATGACCTTGGCAAGACTTTGCCTGTTTTCTGGCACAGGTTCAGCCTATCGTAACCAAACTCAGCAAGAGGATTCTCAATGTAGGGACAGCCATTTTTGTCAACATTTGGACAACAGGTGCCATTTTGAAACAAGATGGTGGACCAAAAGGTAACTTTAGAATGACTTCACCCCGTTTTCAGCACGATGGGGCCAAACTCACAAATTACACTATCCATTTGAAAGTCAAATATTTTTCGTTTCTATTCTGCTTTTGGAATTCCCCCCTAGTGCCTGCTATAAAAGATTCCAGAATGGCTTTGGGCATGATGCAGAATCAGGAACAACAAATGCTTCTCCTAGCTATGCTCCCATACCTGCATTTGAGAGTCTCTTGCCCTGGCCTCTGGTAAACACGGAATTTCTCCAGGTGTTGGGTGAAATGAGGGAGTTAATGAAGGGAAGGGTGACCAAGAGGTGAGGGTCACGCAACATCTATTCTCAATGTACCTGTGGTTACTCTGCGCTAAAACGGAGCCACGGAGCACTGGGTTCTGCAGCCTTTATATATAAAAGCTGAGCATGTGCAAGTCTTATTTTATTTACTTATTTATTCATTTATTTATATGTCCATTCATTCATTTCATGAAATTTATACACAGCACGACTAAAAAGAAACCTCAAAGCTCTTTGCAAGGAAAATAAAATTCAGTAACTCAAACACTCAGAAAATAAACTCAGCAACACAGTAAAAACAGATTAAAACAGACATCCACATTCTACATGTCTGGACAGGCTTGCCTAAAGAAAACAAAATTTTCTAGCAGGCACCGGAAAAAATGCAGTGAAGGCACCTGCCTGGTGTCAATAGGCAGGGAGTTCCAGAGTGTAGGGGCTGTCCCATTAAAATATTTGAGTTCTTACAAATGCATAATGGGGATTATCTGTCACCTGAAACAGTGCAAGTTCTGCAGATCAAGGAGGTGCATATGGAGAAAGGCAATATTGCAGGTAAGCTGGTCCCAAGTTGTTACGGGTGTTTTACCGTATTTTTCGCACCATTGGACGCACATTTTTTCCTTTAAAAACTAAGGGGAAAAGTCTGTGCGTCCTATGGAGCGAATGTGTGGTCCTGGGACTTCCCCCTCCAGCCACTCCAAGCTCAGGTTGCAGCGGAGAGGCTGCGTGGGCGGCTGGGGAAACCCCGGGCTTCCCCATTCAGACCGACAAGCAGCTGAGAGGCTGCGTAGGCGGCTGGGGGAAGCCCTGGGATTCCCCATTCAGTGCTACCAGCTCAGGGCGCTCAGCGCGCAGTGGAGACGCTGCTTGCAACTTGCCCTCTGTCCCTGAGCCGCTCTAGGGGGCTGGCTGGAGAAGCCCTGGGTTTCCTCATTGAGTCGGAGGAGCTCAGGGCGCTCAGCGCTCAGCGGAGACGCTGCCTGTAACTTGCCCTCCATCCCTGAGCCGCTCTAGGAGGCTGGCTGGGGAAGCCCTGGGTTTCCTCATTGAGTCGGAGGAGCTCAGGGCGCTCAGCGCTCAGCGCTCAGCGGAGACGCTGCCTGTAACTTGCCCTCCATCCCTGAGCCGCTCTAGGGGGCTGGCTGGAGAAGCCCTGGGTTTCCTCATTGAGTCGGAGGAGCTCAGGGCGCTCGTAACTTGCCCTCCATCCCTGAGCCGCTCTAGGAGGCTGGCTGGGGAAGCCCTGGGTTTCCTCATTGAGTCGGAGGAGCTCAGGGCGCTCAGCGGGCAGCGGAGACGCTGCCTGTAATTTCCCCATTCAGACCGACAAGCAGCTGAGAGGCTGTGTGGGCGGCTGGGGGAAGCCCTGGGATTCCCCATTCAGTGCTACCAGCTCAGGGCGCTCAGCGCTCAGCGGAGACGCTGCTTGCGACTTGCCCTCTGTCCCTGAGCCGCTCTAGGGGGCTGGCTGGAGAAGCCCTGGGTTTCCTCATTGAGTCGGAGGAGCTCAGGGCGCTCAGCGCTCAGCGGAGACGCTGCCTGTAACTTGCCCTCCATCCCTGAGCCGCTCTAGGGGGCTGGCTGGAGAAGCCCTCGGCTTCTCCATTGAGTCCAACGGGAGCCACTCTAGGGAGCTGGGTGGGGAAGCCCTTGGCTTCTACATGGAGTCCAACATGAGCCGCTCTAGGGGGCTGGCTGGGGAAGCCCTTTACAATGAGCCGGAAGATTTGGACATACCCTTCCGCCCCTCCTCCCAGGTTATTGTGCCGGTAATTCCCAGCATTTCCTCCTTTTGCTCCGGTTCCACGAGGCAAGGCAGCTGCACTCCACAGACATCCAGAAATGTGAGATCTCCCTCTCTCTTCCTTCTTTCCCTCCCTCCCTCCCTCTTCCACCTTAAATAAAATATTGGGGGGGGGCAGTAAAGCCCCACCTCGCATACAACAATTCAGCCCTTCTCAACCTGTGGGTCCCCAGATGTGAACACCTCTAGGTAGCAAGGCCAGAGCTCAGGGAAGATGGGAGTTGGAGGATGATAGGAGTTGTAGTCCAACAACATCTGGGGACCCACAGGCTGAGCTCTCCCTCTCCCTTCCTTCCTTCCTTCCTTCCTTCCCTCCTTCCCTCCCTCCCTCTTCCAACTTAAAAATATTGGGGGGGGGGCAGTTAAGTGCCCAATAGTAAACATTGGAGATACTGTACTGTACATTACTGACAGTTCCTTACCACTGTATTTTCTTGCAGAAAACCTCCCCCATTCTGATAAGGATGATAAGCCAGAAAAGACTAGCATATAAGATTCCTTTTAAACTAGAGGTAGTAAAATATGCTAAGGAGCATGGAAACAGAGCAGCAGAGAGACATTTTGGACCACCTCCAACTGAAAAAATGATAAGACAGTGGAGGAAACAGGAGGATCAGCTGCAAAAAGCAGATAAAAGCAAGCACACTTTTCGTGGACATGCTGCAAAGTGGCCACAGATGGACATTGCCATGAAAGAATGGATCACAAAACAGCGGAATAAAGGCTTCGCAGTCTCTACAAAAATGATAATATATGAAGCCAAACGCATTGCTTTAGAGAAAGGCATTCACGATTTTACTGGCTCACCATCATGGTGCTACAGATTTATGAAGCGATGTGGCCTTGCTATGCGCACTAAAACTAGAACTGCACAAAAAATGCCAGAAGAATATGAATCTAAGATTCTGTCTTTTCATAAATTTGTAATTGATGCTAGGAAGAGAAATGGATTTGAAATTGGCCAGATTGGGAATATGGATGAAGTCCCGCTAACCTTTGATGTGCCATCTAATAGGACTGTTGATCTGAAAGGTGCCAAAACCATCGCCGTGAAAACCTCTGGGCATGAGAAAACCCATTACACTGTTGTGTTGTCTTGCTGTGCAGATGGCACCAAATTGCCACCCATGTTAATTTTCAAAAGGAAAACATTTCCAAAAGAAGTGATTCCACGAGGAGTTGTTGTACATGTTCATGAGAAAGGGTGGATGGACGAAAATGGAATGAGAGTATGGGTTGAAAAAGTGTGGTCCAAACGTCCTGGAGGGCTTTTGAAAAAACCTGCCTTATTAGTACTGGACCAGTTTAGAGCACATATTAGCGAAACTACAAAAAAGCGCTTTAAAGAAGTGAAGACTCATTTAGCTGTAATTCCTGGAGGTCTTACCAGCCAGTTGCAACCTCTCGATGTTTCCATCAACAAGCCATTTAAGATCTTTATGCGAGAAGAGTGGAACAAATGGATGGCTGCTGGTAATCATGATCTAACACCCACTGGACGAATGAAGAGGCCCACTATCACTCAAGTTTGTGAATGGGTGAAAACATCATGGCACTCGGTGAAGGAGGAAATCGTTGTCCGGTCATTCAAAAAATGTGGCATTAGCAATGCTTTGGATGGTAACGAAGATGGTATTTTACATGAAACTAGCGAAGAAAGTGATGTCAGTGATTGTGAGCAACTGAACTCCACAAATTCTGACTCTAGCAGTGATGAGTTCTTGGGGTTCACAGAAGACTAGAAGAGTACTCAAACTTTAAAGTCTCCCTTCATTTGTTAATGACAGTGATGACGGTTCTTAATGCCATTGTTGACTGCTGTTCACTTTACATGGCTGTAATATGATTCTGATATACTGGTTGTTTATTAAATACAGTAGTTTATACAACATTTGATTCAGAATATTTTTTACTTGTTTTCCTCCTCTAAAAACTAGGTGCGTCCTTTGCTCCGGTGCGTCCAATGGTGCGAAAAATACGGTATACTAATACTAACACATTGAGCCTGATCCAGTAGCAAACTGGCAACCAGTGCATCATTTTTTATTGTTTATTATGGTTTTGCAAGCCACAGGCAACATCAAGAGAGGCAGTAAGACATTATATGCCACCCCTGTTCAATGGAGATTAAGTTTCTGTAACAAGTGACACAGGCTTCAGTGCCAAATGCAATCTGGAGGGAAACAAAGGTTGCAGGGGTGTTCACTTACAGGCTCCACAATACTAAACTTCTTGCTCTCCTGCACTTCTTGGATCTGATAGACGTATTCCAGGGAAGATTCAAAGAAAACGTGCCGCTCTTTATCCACCTGCATGTCAGCCTATGTGAGAAACAGAATGGGGACGTTAATACAACAGCAGCACGGCTACCTTTACATGTCCTTACAAAGTGTGGTTCTCAAGTGCTGAAAACCTCTTCACCTACCTCTTGCAAATGGGATTCTTTTTTCTTTGAAGATAAATTCAAATGGCGATCCAACATGGAGTAAAACCGCTCCCCATCCTTCTCAAATTTCTTTTTCCGTTCCTAGAAATGGAGGAGATGCAAAATCATTGTGTTGTGAGCAACTGTTAAGTACTACTTTTAAGGAACAGATGTCAGGGGTTTCCAGCCTGACCCTAAAAGGCACTCTCCACTGGCTCTGCAAAATTTTAGTAGTGAAGGAAAGGTGCTCTGCATTTGCACAGAGGAATCATTCTTATTAAGGACATGATTCCAAGCTTGATTTTTTTAAAAAAGTCTCAGAAGCAAGCACTGGTTACTATATTCCTAACATCTGTACACTTAACGTTCATCCAGACAGCTCAGAATGGCCATGTTTTAACTTCACAACCACCCTGTAGGGAAGTAAGAAAGACTGGAAGATTGTGACTTGGCTCACCCCAAAGAATTCTGGGAGTTGTGGTTTGTTATGGGTGCTGAAAGTTGTCAGGAGACCTCCTTTTCCTTCCCCACAGAACTACAGTTCCCAGAGTTCCTGTGAAGAGGGATTGACTGCTAAACCACTCTGGGAATTGTAGTCCTGTGGGGAAGGAATAGAGGGCCTCCTCAGAACTCTTAGCACCGCCATTGCCCCCTGACCATGTACAGAGATATACTGATACTGAGAATGCATGAGCTGAGAATCACCCCTGCAACTATTATGCGGGGAATGCTCTGGGAGCAATTTTGGGGTCCATAAAAGGGACAATTATGCGGTGGTGCCCAGTATGTGGTGAAATACACTAAGTGGTTTGTATGCAGGGAGTTGGACTGTAGAATTCCAATTCTACAGTTCTATGATTCCATGAGACTTCTATTCTCCTCCCAGCGCTACAAACTCTAATTTCCTCTGAAGAGGAACCAATCATTAAACTACTCAATAATTGTTGTAGACACCTATTTTTCCTCCAACGCTACAATTCCCAGTACTTCCTGTGACTGTTAAACCACTCTGGGAATTGTAGCTCTGTGAGAGGATTGGCTGGGGCTCCCAACAATTTCCAGCCCCCTTAACAAGGCTGTAGCTCCCAGAATTCGTTGGTGGGAGCCACAACTGTTCGAAGTGGTGTCCTAGCATTTTAAATGTATGGTGTGGCCTTGGTGTTCATAAGGAAGAACTTTCTGGATAGGGGAAGGTGAGATGGAGGACTACAAGACTGAAAGCTACCTGCCTCTATAAGCAGCTACATAGCATCATGGTGAGGCGTTTTCTGCCACACCGTTCACCCAGAGATGCTAGCTTTCTACATGGAGAGGTTTCCCTTCTTCCCTGAGGAAGCATTCAGCTATCTTATCATCTCCCAACTGCACTCTTGAAGGGGTATCATCCTGGAGAAGTTACTCCTCTTTGTGCAAATGGAGCCTTATCTAGGCACACACAAGAGCCAGCTGCGCTAGCGACAAACGGCTTTTAGTAAACTTCAGTGCAAAAAAAAAATAAAAAATGGGGAGATATAAAGGAGTCTAGGAGGCCATCTGCTCCATTGCATTTTCAGGCAGCCGGCCTCTTTCTAAGAAATAGAAAACAGCTTTTCTATTAAAGAGAAAGTTCATCGCCCATTCTAGATCCAATATGGCTTTTGGAACAGCTGCAATATGCTGGCAGCTTGGGACGTGCTGCCAGATGGATTTCATCTTATACACAAACCAAGCCCTTGGACTTACGCCACCCGAGACCCACTGAAAATCACTGGGACTAGGCTGCCTTAAGGATACTTTAAGCGGTTGGTGGATATTCCTGCATTGCTGGAGGTTGGAGCAGATGATCCTTTCCAACTCTGCAGTTCTATGATTCTAGGGTTGTCTGTAGGGTTGTATGTGCAGAACTGATACCTTCCTCCAACCATTTTTAGAGAGCGTATTTTCTCCCATTGGGAAACTTGCCAGTGGTTATATAAGCATTACTGAATGCCCGGAGTTGGTGTTAACACACCCAGAGACACCTGGAATTTGTTATATATTTTTTGCATGGTTGGGATAAGACCATGCCGGCTTGAGCTGCTGGGAGCTGGGGTCCAACAATATCTGGAGAGCATCATGTTGGCCAATGCTGCTCCACCTCAACCAATGCACACACAAAGGGTTTATTGAAGGGTTTATCTGCAACAGTGCTTCCCCAAGTGGGAGGTAGCACACCCTGGGAGACAATGGGATTACATATGAGGTGCTGAGGCAAGGGGGTTGCAGGGGACAATGGAGATGTAAATGACTATCAGACTTTGAAAAGTCAGCATCAGTTTTGTTGAATCAATTAAGCTAAGCAATTGATTGGATTTTGAACAAATATGCAGCTAATTGTTACAGTTCCGAATTTTATTGCGTTACTGTCTTCCTTGGAGGGTCATGCAAACCGCTATTCCGAACAATGGTTGTATAAGGGTAGGGTAGAGGGGGTATCATGGAACCACGGTGAGGGGGGGCATGGAAAAGTTTGGGAACCACCACTGCAATTTTTGGAAGCTCTTTCTGATCTGTAGCCCAGCCACAAGGAGGAGCACTTTACAAGTAGTTCGAGACAGAAAGGGCCAATGGAGAAACATCTGCGCACAGCAGGAGGCAGTTTGTGTCTGTAAAAGGGTCAGGGAACAGCCTCAGAACCTCCTATGAGAAACAGATGCTCAAAAACATGCAGCAATTCACCTATAGTGGGAGCACCCATGGGTCTCATAATTTTGGAATGCGGTGTATCAAGAAATCTCTAAAATAATTAAATGCACTATTGTGGCTTCACCACAACTCTCTTTATTGAACATTGGAGAAGTGGGAAATGTGTGCTCTAAGGAACCTCTGATTTGGATGTTGGCTGGGGCCAGAATTTCAATAGCCCAGCTATGGGAAAACTCTAGGAGACTTTAACTTTTATTTGTGGTACGAAAGAACATGGACCTCAGTTCCAGCAGAGAAGATAATGCCCGAGGTGCAAATTCCCTGGTGGAAAACTAAGAACGTTTATTTGCAGTCTGGTGGGACTTCATTATGCAGTGCCACATTGGGCAAAATGATTCCTGCATTGCAGGGGGTTGACCAGACTCAAGGAGGATAACTGAGCCTTCCCGCGAGTGGGGCTGGGCATTCTGTTCTCTGTATGGAGGCGTGAGCTTGAATCCCACTGCTGACACATCTGTTTTAGCACAGTGGTAGAGCACCTGCCTTGCATGCAGAAGGTCCCAGGTTCAATCCCCACCATCTCCTGCGAGATACACCCTGTCTGAAATCCTGGAGAGCAGTTGCTGCCCTCAGCGTAGATGAACCAGTGGTCTGACTCAGTATAGCTTCCTATGTTCCTATGTTCCAATTAAGATAAACTAAATTTGTTGCCGCCCATGTGCTATGGAATTTGGTTATGCTTTTTTAAAAACGATGCAATGAATGCTCTGCCAGAAGTTGGTGCTGTTAATTTGCACTACTGCAATATTCACTACATTCTTTTTTAACATGACTCCCACATGAGGAACAGTTGCTGCGTTTGAGAGGTTTCAGCTCAGAGAAAAAGTGAAGAAGAGGCAACATGATAGAAGTTTATAAAATTATGCATGGCACACAGAAAGTGAGTAGAGGAAAGTTTTCTCCCTCTCCCAAAACACTATAATTCACGGACATCCAGGGAAGATTCAGAACACAGAAAAGGAAGTCCTTCTTCATGCAGTACATAGATTTAACTATGGAACTCTCTGCCACAGGAGGCAGTGATGGCCACCAAACTAGATGGCTTTAAAGGAGGAATAGGCAAATTAATGGAGGAGGAGAGGGCTATGAACGGCTACTAGCCAGGATGGATATGCTCTGCCTCCACAGTTGGATATCTTCTTGATATCAGCTGCTGGAAACCACAGATGGGGAGGGGGATTGTGCTTGGATCCTGCTTGCATTGGGGCATCTGACTGGCAACTGTGACAGTAGGATGCTGAACTAGATGGGCCACTGGCCTGATCCGGCGGGGCTCTCCTTACGTTTTTAGAGGCAAATGAGTGTGGTCACACTCACTTCCCTGTTTATGAACACCCAAAGAGAAACTACAACAGCCTTAGCATTATTTCCACTGTGGCAGTTTGTTTTAAACTTTTGAAGTCTGGAAACAGAGACAAGGAAGGAGGCGAAGTGTCAAGCGTTATTGTCTGCAACTTAAAATGTCAATGACTCCAGATGGACTGGGCTGAATCCAAGCTTGTGTGTTCGCCAAGAAGTCTCCATTTCAAGCACTGGTCCACAGCCAATTACTTTAGCCTGCTGACTAATGGGGAACTTTGACTTTTTGGTACTGGACAAAGCGAACTTTTACACTCTATGAGAGACTTCTTTACAGAGGGGACAGGGAAGAGAGTGTTTTGACCCTGCTTGCATTTTCTGTAATAAAGTTTTAGTGATGAATTTAGAATGGTTTTCCATCTTCGTTACACCAGCAGACGACTGCATTTGAACAATGGCTCTTGGCCCATGGTTTGCAAAACAGGTGGTAATGCCCCTTCAGGAGGGTCAGGGGAGATCACTTAGCCGGGTGCTAAGAGGCAAAAGGGTGGGGAAGGGATGCTGGATATGTAAAAAACTAGATTTTGAAGCAAGGTACAATTAATTTCCATTGTGTTATTATCCTCCTTAGTGGGTTATGCAAATGTTTTTATAAGGTAGGGGAGCACTGGGGGCATGTTTATGGAACTGGGGGGGCAGGGGGGCTTGAATTTTTTTGGGGGAACCACTGCCTAGTCTTTGCCACCTGGAACATAGGATTCTGCCTTATGCTGAGTCAGACCATGAGTCCATTTGGCCCAGCACTGTCTGCACTGACTGGCAGAAGCTCTCCAGGGTTCCAGACAGGAAGTGCCTCTCAGCACTTCCTGGAGATGCCTTTTGGGTCACTTCCAGGTTTGGCGCCATGCATGCATGATCACCTGTCAATTAGACATGTGTAAATCAGGAGTTGGCTGTATACCTGTTTGTTTTTTTTAATTCTGCTGGTTTTATCTGTATTCAGCAGATAAACATATTACACTATTCTATGTAAATATCCCACGTAATATTTTTATGTAAATGTTTTTACATAAATACTTTATGCTACAAGTTTCTATTTTATTTTCCCTTTTTTCTTTAGTGCTATATAAGCTGCTAAATATATAAATATACAAATAAGTTCCTAAGTACAAAGTGAAGGGGGCAGGGGGAATTAACTTACTTTGGTGAATCCAATTTGCTCCTTGCGGAAGTTTTCCAGCGGTTTGATCAGTAAATCACTAGCATTTTGAACCTGTAGATAAAAGTAAGAAAGTAAGGTAACATATAATTAATGAACTTTTATTTATTGCATTTCAATCCCCATTTTTCTCTCTCCAAAGAGCTCAAGGTGGTGTACATGGTTCTCCCCCTCCTCATTCACAACAACCCAGTGGGGTAGATTAGGTGAGAGGTGGTGACTGGCCCCCAGTCACACCCAGTGAGCTTCAAGGCCGAGTGAGAATTTGGATTCATTCAATCTGAATGCACTCACTTTGACTACAGCCCTTAAGTGTAATTATGCCAATGGAGGAACAAAGGGTGGCCTATACTCACCATCATTGATCTTTCAAGTTCCACCTCTTGAAGCAGCTCTGAAAACTCCTTAAAGGATTCGGCTACGAGGGAGCGGAAAGAAGGAAAATGAGTTACTTGGGACTGACTCTCAGGGGTTGCAAATTATGTACTGCAACGGCACACAGATCATTTTTTATTTTATTTTAGTTGTATACGCCACACACCCACACACCCCAAATAACACTAGAACTCACAGACATCCAATGAAGCTGAATGATGGGAGATTCAGGACAGATGAAAGAAAATGACTCCTTCATGCGGGGCATAGTTAGACAGGAGGCAGTGATGGCCACAATCAGGATGGCTTTAACAGGGTTGAACAAATTTAGGGAGGGGGATGCTGTGGATGGCTGGGCTTTGCCTCTGCAGTTGGTGGCAACAATACTTCTGAATACCAGTTGCTAGAAGCCACAGGAGGGGAGAGGGCTCTTGTGCTCAGGTTCTGCTCCTGTAATTCCCAGTGGAGCATTTATTCATCCACTGTGGGAACAGGATGCTGGACTAAATGGCCTATTGGCCTGATCCAGCAGGCTCTTGCTATGTTCTTATGCCAAGGATTTCTTAACTGAACTATGATAGTGGCCTGACCAGAAATGACAGATCCTTCAATCTCTCTTGCATGCTGCAACAAAAGGTTTGATCAGTTGGAACAAACATCCTGCAGCAACAAGAATGCCTTGAAGGAGATGGGGAAGGAAGTCTACCACCTCAAGTACAGAGGCAAGTAAGTGGCCTTTGCCATTATTTATGTCCCCATGCCTGTCATACATCACAAGGCTGAAACAAAGATAAGACAGTGGAATCTTCATGGCTTTTCAGGATCGTCCCTGTGTTCCTGCTCTTCCTCTGACTCATCTTAGCATGACACTATCTGCCTGTTTCCTATCATTTCCAGAGTTTTCCAAGAGTGCTAAGACTTTCCAGATCGTTTGATCAGAGCCCTCAGCTTCTCATATCACCGTAGCAGCAGTTTCCAGTCTCCAAAACCGCTGGTGGAACAGCAGCCGTTAGAGGCAGATAATTCCCCCAATGCTTTTTAAAGGACGCAGTGCAGGGGTGCCCTCCCCCACAAGAAAAATCAGCTTGGTTTTCATTAACCCAGCTTTTTTGCCAATTGCACGAATTCTTGGTTGTCTTTAAAAGAGGACTGGATAAATTCATGGAGAAGGAGTGGGCTATTGAGAGCTACTAGCCATGAAGGCTATGCTCTGCCTCTGCAGTTGGAGGCAGCGATGCTTCTAAATACCACTTGCTGGAAACCACCCAAGGATGTGATGAAGTGTCCTAAATCCAGGAATGTTATCAGTAAGGGACTTCCCAGGAACTTCATGATTAGTGTGTCAACATTTTCAAGCAGCAACACACACACACACACACACACACACACACACACACGAGGAAGCACTTACCAATGTTAATCTCATCATCTGTCAGGGTGTCCCCAATAAAGTCAAACTGAAAGGACTGGAGAGTCTGGGAGAATTTCTGTACAGCCAAGGAGTAATCTAGGAAAGATGGAAAGGTTGCAGAGATAAGTATGCAAAACTGGCAATTTAAATTTGTAGAAGCTTCATTCCTGCAGACCGGGCACAGCACCTTTTGGATTCCACACTTTCCTCCGAAATAATAAGCGCAGCACACAAAGGAGAAATGCTTATTAAGATTTAACATTAAGGTTAGGGGGGAAAGAGGTCCCGAGTCCACTGCTTCATGGTTGCTCACACTGCTGCTTTTCTAGTGGGAGGAAAAGACCTTTGTGTGAAAGTTATTGTTATTTATAGGATTTCTATCCTACCTTTTTCTTAAAGGAGCTGGAGGCAGCAGACATGGCTTTCCCCTTCCTCATTTAGTCTCCACAACAACCTTGCAAGGTAGGTTAGGCTGAGAGGCAGTGATCGGTCCAAGGTGACTTCATGAGTTTCATGGCTGAATGGGGGGAACCGAACCCAGGTCTCCCAGGTCCTAGTCCAACACACCAGCTACTACACCACATAGGCTCTCAAAAATCAGGCAGAGGGTGGGGGAAGCAGTCAAAAGAGGCATGCTTACATGAAACATGTTGGGAGGTCTTCATTGTTCTAGCCTCAATAATATCCCCTCCCCAATTCAATTACTTGACCAACCCCTGAAACCCCTTCCACAAAGCTGTGCCAGCAGTAAAATAAAACTGCATTTAGCTTTGTGACCATCTTGTGCTACAGACTGCCAGTGAGGTGTAGTGGTTAGAGTGACTTAGACTGTGACTTGGGAGTCCCAGTTTCAAATCCCTACTTGGCCATGATGTCCACTGGGTGAGACCTTGGGTGACAGTCACTGCCTCTCAGTCTAACCAGGGTTAGAAACTCAAGATATATAAGCTAGGCGCCAAGTGGCGCCTTAAAGCTAGGTTACGGTTGCCACAACGGAATACCTATTCACCGATGGGTTGGACTAGATGACCCCGGGGTCCCTTTGCAACACTACAATCCTTCGATTCTATGATCTCAACTACATTGCTTGACAGTAGCTTGCTCTTACAACAAATTCACTTGTCCCAGTATGCAAGAAGGAGAAACACACACAGAAGAAATGGTATTGGCTATGGACTAAGGCGGAGGTTTTTAATCTTTAGTCGCCAGCCTGGTGCCCAGAAATGTCCACATAGACAAAAATGGACCCATGCTAGTGGCAAAATGTGCCTGGCACCTTGGAAGTTTTGAACTCTGAGTCGAACAGACCTCACAGAGTTGTTGTGGGAATCAAAACATTTCCAGAAGGAAAGTCACATAATGCTCATAAGCATAAGGACATAAGACCCCCTGCTGGATTAGGCCAATGGCCCATCTAATCCAGCATCCTGTCCCCACAGTGGCCAACCAGATGCCTCTGTGGGAAGGAAGAAAGCAGGAGTCAAGTACCAGAACAGCTTCCCAGCCCTCCATTCTGTGGTTTCCAATGACTGGTGTTGAGGCGTATGGTTGCCTCAGCTCGCAGCCCCGAGAAGCAAAACCTCCATGATTTATTTGCTTGCCGAGTCGATTTTTACAAAGTGTAGGCCTGGGAAGAGCAGCTTGTGTCCTTTGGTCTCTCATTAAAACAACAGAAAGATGAAAAGAGAAAGGGTTGTAATGAGCCAGTCCAGCTAAACTGGGCCCTTCATCACAGAATACACCCATTTTCATTTGGTTCCCCCTCCTTGTGAGCTTGGAGGAAGATCAAAGTATTATTCTTCACCCTGGCTCCAGAGCAAAGAGAGATGCACAAATAAAACAAACAGATTTTGGATCCCAGAAACTGAGACAGAGTAAAAGCTTGGTCTGAAAGATCTAATTCCAGACAACTTGGGGATTATTCCTGAAATAAATAAAAAAATGGGTACATGGAACCAATAATGATAAAGATAAGCCTGGTGCAGACTTTGGAACAGTGGATTCCAAAGTAGGGGGGGGTTGCACCCCCTGGGAGCAGTGGGATTACCTCAAATCCTGAGAGGCAAGGGGGCGGCAAGGAGGACTATCAGACTGAAAACCTGGTATCCCTGCATCAGTTTTGTTAAATGAAATCACTTTGATCGGATTTTGAATAGATGTTCGTGTTTTGAATTTTATTGTGTTGATATCTTCTGAATAAATTTTTTAAGACGTTTTATTTAGGCGTACTTACAAACAAACCAATGAATCAATAAGATACACACAACCACAAAATAAACCGAAAAAGGACAAAAGGAACATAAAATACCACACCTATGTGACTTCCCTCCACTTCTGAATAATGTTTTTTATAGGGTGTGGTAAAGTAGTGTGGTGGCATTGGGGATGAGTTTATAGAACCAGGGGGGAAAGACGCCCCACAAAAGTTTGGCAGCTGCAGCTTTAAGCCCAGGTCCTGAAAACCAGGATGTGAGGGCAGCAGAATTCTCTCTACAGTTGCTCTCTCATGACAGTAAGAAGCGAGACATGGCCATGGCTGTTGTCTTCAGGGCCTGAGCTGCTAACTCAGCCTCCGCCTCATAACATCTGCTGCTGCCTAACCCATGCTGTGATGTCATAGCATGCATCACAACACGGCCTGAAGGTGACACAAATGAGAGTCAGTGTGGTGTTGTGGTTAGAGTGTCAGAATAAGTTCTGGGAGACCAGGGTTCAAATCCCACACTTGGCAATGAAGCTCACTTGAGTTGCAGGGGGCCAGTCACTGTCTCTTAGCCTATCCTTGGAGCAAAAAATGGTATATAAATGCATCAATCAAGCAAAGAAAACACAGGGTACCTTGGCATCGCAACACAGGTTACGTTTACTGGGAAAGAAACACACCGTGCTATCTCCCAACGATATGTTAAAGCTTGAAATCTTTCCCTCATTAAATTTGGTAAGGAGAATGAGGCATGGAAGGCTTTTCTGAGAGGAAGTTGGAAGACATATTTATGTCACAGCACTAACCTTGTACACAACCATTACCTTCCTAGATTAGCTGTGCTGCAATGTTTTTATTGTTGCTATTACCTATATCTTTAACAGGACTTATTTAGTTTTAATTCTCTTAAATAATAGATGATAGATAGATAGATAGATAGATAGATGATAGATAGATAGATAGATAGATAGATAGATAGATAGATAGATAGATAGATAGATAGATAGATAGATAGATGATAGATATAGATAGATAGATAGATAGATGATAGATAGATAGATGATAGATAGATAGATATAGATAAAAATGAAATAATAATACTACATAACAAAGCTTCTTGTTTGGCCAAAAGACTGCCACAGAATTCCCATCATCTGTTTTTGTGTTCAACTTCACACACACATCTGCTCATGCTAACTTTTCCCTTCTGACCCTCCTCTCTTTATACTTTACTTTCCCTTCTGCTTTCCTAAAGCATCTTGCCTTTTATTCTTAAGGCTCCAATTTCGTTTTTGCACAGCGTTCTGAAATTCCAGACACTTTGGTTAATCCTGAGTTGTGTAATCCTTTTCTAAAGTCATCTGACAGGCTGCACATCCCCCACACCTTGTGCTTCCATAAAATTACACAGGGCATGGAAGAATCAATTCTTCCCCCATTGACTGCTGATCCATGTCAACTGGCTGTGCTCTGCCTCCACAGTTGGAGGCAGCAATGCTTCTGCATACCAGTTGTTGGAAACCACAGGAGGGCAGAGGGCACTGGTGCCTGAATCCTGCATACAGGTTTCCCATAATGGGCATCTGATTAGTCACTGTGGGAAGAGGATGATGGACTAGATTAGCCATTGGTTTGATCCAAAGCATAACCTTACAATAATGGGCTCAGGTGAACTGTGGGATCACATCTTCCCCCTTCTTTCATTTTAGGATTGGCCTCAGCGCGTCACATCAAACTATGGTTTACTGGAACACAAATAGGAAGCTGCAGGTAACCTAACACAGATGCTTCTGATCTCCTTCCTGCTGCTGTGGCACTGGAAGCATGCATGAGCCCAAGGCTCATTCATTTACTACCATGGATTTGTGTCCAAGAAGAGCCACAGCCTGGCTTGAATGACAGAGGAAGCTCAAACCTCAGTTTTTGTAGTTCAACTGCTACATCACACTGCACCAAGGTTTGGCTTTATGCATAATCTAACCTAGGCTTGTGGTTAAGCAGTCCTCCTTCACCTCAAGCTTTAAAGTCACATTTGAGGAACAAAGCACCAGATTCAGACCACACACTATTAGCTCAGTCATGTGTGGCAGCTGAGCTCTGCTGGATTGGGCCAATGGCCCATCCAGTTCAGCGTCCTCTTCTTCTCACAGTGGTCTGTGGGAAACCCACAAGCAGGATTCAAGCACCAAAGCATACTCACCTTCTATGGTTTCCAGCAACTGGTATTCAAAAGCACAGGTGCCTCCAACTATCCAACTCCATTGTGGCTAGTAGCCTTCCACAGTCCTATCCATGAATTTGTCTAATCCTTTTTGAAAGTTATCTAGGTTGATAGCAATCACTACCTCCTGGGGGAGCAAGTTCCACAGCTGAACTCTGTGCTGTGTGAATAATTACTTCCTTTTATCTGTTCTGAATCTTCCAACATTCAGCATCACTGGGCACCAGCAATCTCTAGTTTTATGAGAAGGCGGGGGACGACGACACTTTTCTCTATTCACTTCCTCTATGCCATGCGTGATTTTATAAACTTCTATAAGGTTACCTAGTGGCTGTCATCTTTTCCCTGAGCATCCACACTACAAACTATACTTTGGCTTAACACCCAGCCACTCCCTGAGAGCAAAGTGGGGAATTCTCTCCAACCATCCACAATTTAAAGTTCAGCCTTATCACCATCGTTGTGTTTTGGGTTTTCGTTCTGGTAAACTAAGAAGCATAGAACTGCATAGTTGGAAGGGATCCCCAAGGGCCATCCAGTCAAACCCCTTGCAATGCAGGAATCACAGCTAACGAACCCCTGACAGATGGCCATCCAACACCTGCTTACAAACCACCATGGAAAGAGTCCACCAGCTTACAATGGAGTCCATCCCACAGTCGAACAGTTTTT